GTAATATACTGTAGACTGAATTTTATATAATCAGTTTATCCAGCCCTCTCATCAGGATTTTTTTAAAGAGTGGGGAAATTTAAAAAAAATGTTCTCCTCAAAATTTTAAAGGGTGTTGCACAAAATTCTAAAGGGAGGATGAAAGCGTTGCCATTTTTTTATAGTGTGACAAGACGTGGCATGGCACATGTCCTACATTTTAAATTCATTTACTCAATACCTTCAATTTAATCTAAATGTAAAATATCATCAATATGTAAACAGAAACAAGTCATTAAATTATAATAAAATATTTCATTGAACAAAATAAATAGTCGATTGGGGGTCAGATCTATTTAAAAGGCAACAAGTGGGTATATCATTTTCTTCTATCTCTTCCGTTATCAATAAAACCAAGTGATTTTTTTTTAAACCAAAATCCAACAATAGAGGGGCCCAAGGAGGGACTTTCACGGGCAGCGAGTCTGACCATCTCAGCCCCACCATAGCCATATATAGGCCTATTTGGGGCTGAGGTAGGATATTTATGATTATGGCACCTACAGTAGAGATTGGAAATGACACTCTCAGACCTAAATTTTAATTAAATAATTTTTCTTTCTTCCACATTTTATTACCAATTTGAAAAATGGGGGGCGGGGAGCAGACATGTGATGTACTTTACTTATTGTTATAATAGTATCACTTATTTTCTTTGTCATTCTATTGTACCTTTGTGCTCTCTTTGGTAGCTTTCTTCGTAGATCATTGACATTCACAATTAAACGGTACTGGTTGTTCTTTATCATGTCTCGTACTTTGCCTTGATATGTGCCTTGGTCATTCTGCCAACAATGAAAAAAATATTGTTTTAAATGCTTTATCTACCATGTCAAACTATGGACATGAACAGATCTATAGCCAGGCCCTAGGCCTTATGCCTAGTTGTTGAGGAAGAGCTTTTTCGGTGGTATAGCCTAGGCCTAGCTAGCCCTATGAAGTTAGGCCAGGCATAGGCTAAACCTTCAATCTTGGTTTCAAATCTGTGACAGCGAACAAGGATTTTTTTTTATAAAGGCTAAAAAACACCTAGGCCTATACATTGTCATTTCGTTTTTGCATAAACATTTTTAAAGAACCACCCCACCCAAGCCCTAGGCCTACTTAGGTTAGCCTAGGGGCATAGGTCAGATTGACAACTCTCAGGTTAGGCCTACCCAGGCTTGCACAACAATTCTGTCATGTCCATTAAAAAACAATCCATGTCATCAGTGCTTGTGCAGCACATCCCAGGCTGGTGACTGGTCTAGGCCTAGCTAGGCTTACTATCTAGGCCCTATATGGGCCTAGGCTAGACCTCCTCCTATAAGAGGCCTAATTTCTACTCACATCATCATCTAAGAAATCTAGATAATCTCTCTGATACTCTCTAAGTTGTTGATCCACATCTGTATCCATCCTTATATTATTTTCTTCAACTAAATTTGAAAAGAACAGCAAATATTTCAGCACAGCTCTTCAATTCCCAGTGTACCCGTGTGTACAAAAGTTTCTTACCGCGGTATGGCTCAAATTCGCGCTATTTCACCACGTGATACTTGTGTTTATGCAAAGAGGGCTTTAAATAAACCGACTTCTATGATTGGCTACAGCGTCAAATCTAACAACGCACAAGTTAAGAACTAACTGGAGGTAAAAGGTCAAGATCTCCCAATGTTTTGTTTATAATGAAATTTGAGAATACGATGCTCTGGTTATCATGGAAAATGAAGAAAAGTTAATTGACCTGCAGTTATGTAGCGATAAAATATTGGTCTGGAAAGCAGACGGTAATGAAATAAACGTTAAGTTGATACAATCTCAGGGATCGAAAAATGTCCCCGCCTCTCTTCTTACCTAGGACTAGCTAACTAAACTAGGCCTAGGCCTAGGCGAGGCTTGTTGGGTAGTCAGGTGCCCGGAGACAGTCAGTAGCTGCCGTGTATACTCTATTACTAGATCTAGGATATGCCTACCTACCTAGGTCCGTTGAGAGAGTTGAATTGAAGGTTGATATATTATATAGCTGCACAACTGTGTACTCACCCCTACACTACCATGGTCTTGGTTCAAATCTTCCAAACTTTCTGAATGTTATGTTTTGTAGCTGGAGGCTGAAATAAAAGTAGTAAGACCTTCGAGCAAAACTGTTAGGCCTAACTATCTTTACACGCAATTCGGTAAATAAGGGCTGATTCCGCACAGATTTTGCCGAAAGCTAGGCTTACTCTTAATAACCAATGTATTATGCGCTAGTTACGATTCTGCGCGCCTATTTTCCTAGCGATTTTCTGCGCAATTTTCAGCTAGTTTTTGAGGTAAAGTCCATGTAATCAAAATACTTTACAGTATGGTAGACATATTCTGTTATAACACAGATAATCATTTCCCATATAAATATTAATAGTTTTATAATACAATTTTCATTTTTTTTATAGATGTTAGGACAATACGAGATGAGCACCATATAGTGGGAAAGCTGATTGGTTGCCTACCAAGAACTCCGCAACAGAACTTACAACTTGGTCTTCCCCTACAACTTCTGCCAGAAGAAGCAGCAGTATTGATCGAATATGGTAGGTTAAAGTTAGCACTCTAATTCGCGACCACCTTTAAGACATGAAAATATGGGGTTCGCTAAATAGATTTTCATCAAAAGATATCAGTTGGTACTTCAAAAAAGGGGTTGCGAATTAGAGGGTCTCGAAAAAAGAATTTCAGAATTAGAGGGGTCTTGAATTGAAGGGCAAACTGTACTTCAGATTGTTATCCTAAATTCTATTGATATTAAAAATTTGTATGCATTTTTTACTATATTCCATCCAGTGGTGGCTCCAGACATTTTTTGACAGGTTTCTAAACCAAGAGTTTTTGATCTAAGTCCCTAATAAAATCCCTGATGGGAGAGATTTTATAGTTCAGGATGGCCCAAAATTATGCTTTTTGACCACAAAGAGTCAGTGGCATAGTCTTGAAATGGGGAAAGTGATATGAGATGTTTTTAACTGCTGTACTAGAGCGTGCAGTTTTTGCTTTGAACATTTTCTTTGGTGGAAGGAGACGGGGGAAACAAACTTTTACCTCAGGCGGGGGGGCGGGGGAGTGTGCGTCCCCTGCTCACCCTTAGATACACCACTGCAAAGTGTGTAATGAAATCTTGACCTTGCAATTTGTCAGCTTATTTCTAAAGATTGCATAAGGAGGGCAGCTTCATGGAATAGAACCTAAGACACAATGGTCTTTATGGATCAGTGCATCAGCTGTGCTATGCTGCCCTCTGTAATTGTTGAGTGAACGTGATGTTGGATATGAAAGAAATAGAAAAATGTCTAAACCTACAAAATTTATCATTTTACTCCACAGGGGTCGCTAGAATTATAAAAATAAAAATTGCAACACCAGGTGCTGAAGATGTTGAGAAATTTAAAGAGGATAGACAGAAAAGTTTTATGGAACAGGTTTGAATAAAATTTTATAAATTAATTTTTATAAAGGTCTTAAACCATTAGTGCATTTCATTGTGGATAGGGGAGGACTTACTCCTTAACAAGTATATTCACAGTAAAAAATAAACACAAGCTCATATCTATGGAGTTTACTAATGTGGACGCCCAAAAACGTGGGTCAAATTGAAGTGCTAGTCTCAGTGATAGTACATAATCCGGGACAACTTGAGAGTGTTGGACGATGTGACACTGTCGGTGGCGGTCTGAACGGATCGTCATAAGTTCCAAAAATTGATCCATTCTTCATAAAATCGTGTCGGCCGTAGACCGTAGAGCACAGTGAGTACCCAGTTTAAAACTGTCCTGTTACCTGTTATAAAGTTATGGTATTATATTGATATTTTATACCCAAAGCATATTCTCACTTTCCTCAAATATATTATATTATCCTATATTTCAAAATTTGGACATTTTCATACACTAAATATGCCCTGCACATTGCACGCCTGCTTATGGAAAAACATGCAGGCGCAAGGTCAATGTGATTGACCTAGGCTCCCAGGAATAATAATTATTATTAATTTATTTTTATATTTTCGCTTATATTTTATTTTATTTATATTTTGTATACACACAATACCAAGCCATTATTGAGTGTCACCCTACACAGACACTTACTAAATATGTTTTGTTTCAGAACCATATTTACAATTTGGAGAAAGATTCTAAAAAGGCAGATATTTTGAAGAAAAATCAATCATCCTTTGGTAAGAAGAAGAAACAACTAAGAAAGGAAAGAGCAAAGAATAGAAAAATGCTACTCGGAGGACATATAGGAAGGCCAATCGGAGAGAGCCATGCATCCTTGCTGTTAAAAGATTCTAGCTTAAGTGATGACCTAAAAGATACCAGGAAAGCATATGTGAACAAGGAAGGGTTGCCTTCAGACAAATCTATATCAGAGGGTATTGAAAACTCAGAGATTACAGAAGATGCTGGAATGGTCAAAATTGAATCAGTTGGAGTTGGAGAGCAGGCAGGAAAGATTAATATAGATGACAGAGGAAATAGTAGTTGCAATTTAGAACGTCTTAGCAAAAGTTGTAAAAGGGAGGTGGACAAGGAAGATTCAGAAAATAATGTGGCTAATAAGAGACAGAAAGTATTGGCAGACCAATTTGAAGATGGTCATGAAGTCTCTGGCAATAATATTACCACATGTAGTGAACAGAATATCACTCAAATTGAACACAGAAAGTTACAGAAGGGTGAAACTGAAAATGTACCTGAAAATGGCATCAAAAACAATGATTCTGAAAAAATGATGGATGTTGAAAATTATGCAAATGTAACAGATTCAAGTGTAAAAGAGAAAAAACAAACGGTTGACAATATTGATAGCAAGTTGAACTGTAGAGATACTGTTTGTGATGGTTTACAAGACAATCCAAGTTGTGCTGCTATTGTTGGAAAGGATTCAAAGAATGAATCCGTGGTTAAGAATGATAGTGAAGAAGAAGAAAAAAAACATGGAGAGGAAGAAAATAACACCAGTAAAGGGCACCGACAGTGCCTGATACATTTACCAACATGTAAGCAATTCTAAAAATGTTTGGGAATTATAAGATTGATGTTGGTAAATTAATGGTGAGATATGTGTGTGTAGATCAGGGTATCGGTTTGCATAGATTAGAGGTTTAGTAATGTAGATAATTATAGGGCCAACTAAAAAAGTACAGTGTTGTATAAGATTATGGCTTACAGTGGGGTGGGGTGGGTGGTGCTGATGGAGTAGCAACACTATCCTAGGGGGGCCTCCTAAATCCTCCCCTGTACAGTACTGTATGCTTAACTACCGTACAGTATGTGTGATGTATTTATTTTAAGAGTAATAATAGAGAAATTCAATTCAATTTTATTATGCTTCAAATGCCATCAAGGGCCAATATCCAGAAACCATCCTGGTTTCTGCCGTTTCTGGGATTTGCTACCGGGAAAGTGGAAGGTATGTGCACTTGCAATTGCTCCTTATACAGAGGTGGTGCCATCTCTCGTCAGGAACGGCACCTTTGTAGGGACAGCGTCCCTCTCCCATCCCGTAGGGCGAATCCGGGCATCTCTTCACTGCTATAACAGTGAGGCTATATTTGAATTTCTCATTTGGGATACAGTACTTGCAATTTCCCATCAGTGAGTGAGAAGAAGGGGGCCCTACCTATAGGCCCAGCCTATTGGAGTTGGGATTTAATCTACATTTGGACCGAAATTAGGACCGCTTTTCTGATGCGCTGAGCGCCATATTTACAAACTGATTCATTTTTCTGATCTGTTTGGTAGGCCTTCCGATCCGGTACTTGAAGATGCAATGGTTTGGTTGGGTAGTACTATTAATAATGAGATTTAATACGGCTACTGTTTAATACACAACATTTTTATTTGTGCAGGTGCTGCTAAATTTGATAAAATCCCTTTGGAAGAGTGGAATTACCCATCTTCAGATACAGAGTGGCTACGATTCCTAGTATTCAAGCATTTCTGGGAAGAGGGTTACTACTTGACTTGTGGAGGAAAGTTTGGTGGAGACTTCTTAGTATACCCAGGTAGGATTTTCAGTTATGCATTAAAAGGCTGAGTCTCAAATGGTAGTACTGTATAATACCATGATAATACAGTGATACTTTGATCTTTACAATACCCAAGTTCATTAATTTTATCATATCTGTTTATTTTTCTCTTCCTAGGTAACCCCATGCTTTTCCATTCATCCTTCATTGCTATTTGTCGCCCTCATAGTGAATCGTTCACTGCACGAGAATTGGTTCAGTTTGGTCGAATGGCATCAAATGTGAAGAAAACTGTGATTATATGTTCATTAGATACACAAGATAAACTAGTATTTACCTCTGTACAATGGACAGGAATATCATAGCCAGGTAACAAGAGTGAATGTATAAATGCAGAGGAAACTGAATGAAGAAATAGTTTTTAAGTCCCATTCTGAAAGTGGCTGTTTGATAAAAATTTTAATAAATAATGTTTGTAAAAACAACTACCCACTGTTAACAAGAGAAATAAATTTGCAAGGAAAACCAATTACGATTGTTCAAAATAATGTTTATATACTTATTCTAGCGTTCTCTCTGCATTTTTGGCTTTCATAAACCTATAGGAGCATGTGGTTTGGTGTGTAAGGTGTTGGACTTCCGATCGTGAGATCGACGCTCCTCACATTGCTTGTGTCCTTGGGCAAGGCACTTTGCTTACGTTTCCCTCTCTCCACCCAGGAGTATAAATGGGTACCTGGGAGGATGATGTGGCATTGCAAGTATTAGTCTATTGGCATTAAATTATTCGCACGACTAGGAATACTCTCCCAGGGAGTGGAGGAGGTTGCACTTTGTGCTGGTTTGATTATGGATCCGATGACCAGGGGTAATAATAAAGAACATCGCTAGAGTCTTGTATCCTTAGCAAAAGGCGCAGTATAAATCTCTATATTATAATAAATTTAAAATATTAGTGTGTCCCACTCGCTCACATACCTAAACTGGCTGCTGATATGCAGGTGCTTACTGTAATTTTTCATTTGGAGCATTAGAAAACTGTTGACAATGTTCAAGTTTACTGGCATTTTAACCCAACTGTTATTCAACATCAACTATGCGCCTTTACAGCAGAAACAACTCGCAACCGCTATACTAAAACTGTAGGAATAGTCACTCACACATCACAAGCCTGGTTTGTTTACCCACAGTAGGTCACACGACTCCTATCATAAAATTTGTCTATTGGAGTAGTAGGTTCCAGGCCCTAATTTTGGGTTACTCACTCTTTATTGCACGTAGTGCGCACCATACCTAATTTAATTTGCGTCCCATACTCGATTTCTTTTATTCCGTCTCTAAATTAACTTTCTCGTTGGTGGCGCTGTCCAGCATGAGAAAAATAATAACAAATTAGAGACTATTAGAGTAGTGTTTAACATGCTAAGCTATGTTTGTTAAAATGAAAGAGTAGGATCAATGGCCACAAATAAATTGAAAATAAACAACATTTTTAAAAACTGATTTCAACAAAATATTTATTTCAAGTGTACACTGTAAATACTGTATATAGTCAAAGTGTATTGGAAGACTGCATTTTACAGAGAAACATTTAAATTCAAAAGTCTATTAGCAAATCACAAATTTATACAAAGTTTTATGAAACCACAAATTCAATAAAATATTCTTGGGTCATCATCTGAAATAATTTCGTCTAATTTAATTACAAAACAGGTCGCCAGCAACCTAATTACTGTTACAATACATCAAATAAATACAATATACCGTACTTGAAGTATGTGAAAAATTCTCATTGGTAAACAAATTCATTCATAATTTACTGATTTTTAAAAACATTATAGGAACACTCATTGCATATTAATCATTATCAGTTCTTAAACATCAATACAAATTGTTAACACTTATCTGATTTAAACAATACATCAAAATACTGTTCCACTCCTAACAAGAAATAGTGCTTTAAAGTGGCAATTGTAGAAACTATTATGGAGCACATCATACTGTAATAATAGTAGAATACTGACAAATGCTGTTTAAACATGTTTTAAAGCACAAAATATGAAAGTATTCAAAATATTTAGATTTACCAAATACACAAATAAATTTTGATCAAAATACACATTCAGTTCAACAAATTTGAAAAACATACATTTTTACATCTATTAAAATTTTTTCAATACAATTCATGTTTAACAATACAAAATTGTCAATACATTGTCTAATTTTTAATAATTCATGAAGTAAGCTACAGTAACAAACCTATTTAATTATACCCTGGAGTTGAAATAAAAAAAACTACAGGGGTGGTCAAAGCCGTCGTAGATTGCCTTTACTACTTTTACTACCGACTACATTACCTTTCTTGGAAATGCGCCTTGGGCTAACTTTGCAAGGGGTGCCCCTGTGGAAGTTTGTATGACAGGAAACGCAAAAGTCAAACATACAAGATCGGCGTTTGCAATTTCCACGTTGTCTATTCATACTAAGTTTTGCTGGAGAGCAGCATCGAGGGCACTTAGATAACGACTCGTCAACCAGAAGATCTGACGCAGCCTACAAAATAAAAAATATGTTTTATTATTAACATATTTAATTTCGTCTACGTAATAAAGTGGTGGCAGTGGTAAATGCTATGTAAACTTGTGTTTGGGAAAGAAAAATCTATTTACACTTAGTGCAGAGTGCATAATTTTTATTGATCATAGAGTCTATATGGAATGTTCTATTGTATAGTAGGGACAATTTACACTACACTATTATTTTGTAAGGTTTAATGTACAAAATGCAGTGTACAGTATTAGTGCTTTAGACGATAAATTTTAACAATAATGTTATCAATAATTGGGCACTAAGAATAATGTATAACCTGAATAATAAATAGAATATTCATTCAATGGGAAAGAACAGTGATTGGTGAAAATAACTACAATAAAATTTATCATTTTAAATGATTGAAGAATGAAAATTAATTACAATAGACCAATTTTGTGATAATGACTATAAATATCAGAAAAAAATAACAAACAAATGTTCAACTTATGCAGTCACAAATTGACGGTACATCCCGTAAAATATCAACCACGTAACAAAATACATTATTAAATACAGTAATACAAAACTCACCTCTCTAAACATGTTATGCCTTCTAGTTGACAATTGGTTATTTAGGGAAATTTTGACGGGTGATTGTGCTATACATTCTCTATGTGAATTCTTACGTTGAACCTCTTTCAATGGACAATTCATAGATGTTGTCTCTTTCACAACTGCCGTTTTCATGTGGTTTTCCTGTGAAGTATCAAAGGAAAATTAAAATTATTAAGACAATATTAATCTTAAGTGCAAAGGAATACGAGAGGGAGTACACAATGCGTCGCTAAGAGTGATGAATGAATTACTAACTTTCGTGAATTATTTATAAGCCTTGGAATTAACAGCGTCATATAATAATATAAACAAAAACAAGTTTAAATTATGTTTTTTTTAAAACCATGCTTACTTTATTCTTTTGAGAGACTGTTGATTTTTTCTTCATATCTTGAACTAATTTTGACTCATCACAGAATTCTTTCCACGAACTACATACACAGGACACACTGAAAGAAAAAATAAAAGAACTTGAAATTGAGTCGAACTGCATGTTGGCAGTCACACCTATCTTACTGTACCTTCAAATATCATTAGGCCCAATACAAAAAAATTATTAGTTTATCTCACTCATGCGCATGTCTTTTATGGTATTAAAAAAACAAATTTTTGAATTTTTTGTTTGGAAAAAAGTATTATTTTTGAAATTTTGTTTAGTACTGTAAATAGTTAGATATTATCTCTATCATGTTTTACTTTGAATATCAATGCACCAGCAAACAACCCAAGGGTAATATTTGGCTTTAACATAATAAAAAATAAAAAGCCTCCCTCCCTCATAACTTTTCCCGCCTAGATAGGGTGATAAACTAATATTTTTTTTATAGGGCCACCTTATTGATTCAATCCTTAAAAACATGGGTGATTTTCTAATTAAAAAAAATAATTTACTTTCCAGTAGGGCCTATTATATAGTAAATCTGGATTTAACATAAAATTATGTAATAAAATGTAAACAGAATAATCACATTAATAATGTCCTGGTATGATTCACTGGCAAATGTTGATGTGATATTTTACCTTTGAAGATCATCGGGAGATAAGTACGATACTATTTGGTCAACGATGTTAGGTTCAACATTTAACAACTCAGATAAAATGTCACAATGTCTCAGGCCCATCTTCTTGCCAATTAAAAATGTACTGTCCATAGAGCTTGATATGTAACCACTATCAACCAGGGAACTTTGTTCAAATGACGATGAACTTCTAACCAACATAACTGATGATGATAGTTCTTGAGATTGTGGTGCAGTAGAATCATCAACACCTGAACTGTATGATGATGTCACAGATTCTATAGTTGTTTTACATTTTTCTTTACTGTTTTCATTATTTAACTGCTCTGGTTCATAAAAAAGATTCTTTGCAATGTCTTCAAAATATAATGGATCAATTTCTGGTTTGGTGAGACCACTGATGTTGATTTCTTTTGTTTGGATCGGCGTCAGCCATTCGTCATACATGAAAGACTGCGAGCCTGACCTCTCGATTAATGAATCTAACGAGAGGTTACGGAATGACCATGGTGTACTTGTCAGTAGTGGTGAATCTGCAGCTGTCTCTTTCAAACACCTTAAATGAAGTGGTGATGCAGCCCCTATTAATGGCAAGTTCTTTTTTTCTGGTGTACATGGCTGACTCAAAGGCCAAGATTGACTGCGTTTTGACAGATTCCTCACTGATAATGCATCTAAGGAAGGTAGCCGAGATCGTTTAATGCAGGACCCAAAAGTATCCATTACTGTACTTCTTTTTTTTTAACACTGAAAAAGATTATTGTAAAAAAAAACATTATATTCAATTCAAAAGACTGGTAAAGAACAAAATCATTATGTGTTGATGATAATGGCACGTAGAAGAAATTATTAGAATATCACTCTATTTAAAAAAAAATAAAAAATATTGAGGGCGGGCCTTAAATTTTTATCGATGAGGAAGAGACTGTTTTTATTTGGCAAGAATATTGTAAATAATGTATAAAAACTGGTTTAATTTTATTGTTTTTTAAAGAAAATGTATTTCCAGTCACAAAATTACATTGGTTTTTTATGCTTTTGAAATAAATGATGCGGTAAACATTTAGTTTTTTTTATTTAAATTTAACCTAAAAATGTTATTTAATAATGAAAATATTTATTGTAAAACACTTGTTTGTTTGTATCATGGTTTGTTAAACTGGTGTATTTGATAACCTAGGCCTAGTCCTAGGCTATAAAATTTTAATTTAAATTTATAAATCCTAGGCCTATCTATACCATATATGATAAGCTTTAATGACTGTAACTAAAGCCTGTGCTATGGCTAGTTCAACGAAATGCGTGCTTAGCACTGGCTTTCGTTGGGTGTCCTTGAGGGAGAACAATAGACAATTATTCGTTAGTTAGTCCATACAACATCCTAGGCCTAGGCTATATTTAGCCTAGCCTAACCAACAAGCAAGAAGGGCTTTTCCAAATTACCAGGCAATTGTCGTTCAGGGCACAAATATTCTCTCAAAATAAAATATATAGATCTGGATTTTACCTGACACTAGGCTATATCTTCAATGAATGTGATGCTGGCAGTTTTCGAAGTGAATTAAAACACTAATGAAATAATCATTTTCCCCACTTCTTCTTGGCGCTCACTTTCTTGGTGTGAACGAATTAATCGCGCTATCTGTCTGCTGCTGCTTTGAATTTTCGCGGACTGCTATATCCTTAGAAATCCAGTCGTCCAATGGTTAAATGTTTAAATCCTATTTAAAACTTCACTCAAGTTTTTGACTCCATTGGAATCCAAATATCTGGTGATGTATCCGAATCACAAAATATGATGAAAATAAGGATAGAAGAAAAAAAAAAAATTATTTGTAATTGCTCTATTCTTTAATTGTCAACAAGAGGCATGCTGATGCAGGCTGGATGCTGAAAGCTAGGTGCGTTGAATGTGAAAGGTCATGTGTACTACCACCCCGGCCAGCCACCATTTCGGCGTTCGCGCACTTGATGAATATTCCAAACTGTTCGGTATTGTTTCATAAATGTTTCATATATTTATAATAATGCTGTTGATATTCTTATTTGTCATGATTTTTGCCAAAATTCAGCCGTGCGATGCCATGTAATTGTATAGATAGTTAGCCTAGGCCTACCACACTCTCTTCCAAAGTTTCAGCTGCTGCGCTGGTTGTCGTAACTAAGGCTGGTCCTGCCTGGCTCCACCGCCGCTGCTAAACTGCCCTGGGCCTAGGTTAAACTAGACAGAGACGACCAAGTTTATAGGCCTAGTCAAATCTCAGCCAAAATTTAATATTATAGTTCTAGCCTAGAATATTTTAAAACATAGGGCGTAGGCTAGGCTAGTTTGCATGTATTGTTTTTTTTTACAGCTTTTTTTATTTTAATTTATTTGTAAAATAGGCCCTGCGCCTAGTAGGCCTAGGTTGGTCTAGCCTAGATTATTTCATTGATTGGCCATTTATATGATCATAAATATGATGATGTCTGACGACCTTATTAGTTAATTTTTTTTAAGGGACAAGTCTATTACAGTAGGTGTCCAGCAGTACCTGTTTGTACTGTTGAAAAAAAGAACAATAGGTACACATTTACATTAGGCCACGAGAATGAAAGTTGTAGGTTTTCGTCCGAAAAATTTTTAAAACACATGAGGCATTTTTTTCATTTTTCATTATTCAATATTTTTTTTATATTGATGTCCACAAGCCGCGGCATTGGTAATTTTATTTATTCCCCAAAAACAATGCTTATAGTCATAAAATGTACACTAGCCTATAAAACAGATCCTTTTCTACATTTAAGACCTCTTTAAACATACGAGATTTCCTATTGGTCAGAAAGATCGATTTGACCCGTAAATGACCTCAGCATTGATCGGCAATCATGGTGCGATGTGGCCAGGCCTGCTTTCGCTTGGTGTTTGCGACGAGCGATCAGTGATGAATAGATCGTTTTTCTGTCTGTTTACGACTTAGAAAGTCCGTTTTTTAAAACGAAGTATATTTTTTTTTCAAAATAATGAACTTTTCAAAATAATGAAAATTTTCGTGCAGTAGCTTTTTAGGCATGCGGGCGGTGGACGCAAACCTACAACTTTCATTCCCGTGGCCTTACTACATAGCTTTATATACTATATTCATAGTGGTCAGTGGCGGCACTAGGATTTCCCGAATAGGGGGAGGGCAAGGTCCCTGACAAGGGCATAGAGGGCGTGGTTGGACGGCGCTCAAAATCTTTGGAAAGTGGTCCAGGGGGTGAATCCACCCAAAGTATGACAATTTAGAGGTTTCAAAGGCTTATTCAATCGAGTCTACTATTATGTAGGGCCTGCAGTAACTTAACTGTTGCTGAGTACATTTCTGTATTAAATTATGATGTAAATACACTTTATTTTTTATAGATTGAATTCAAATAGCTATTAACAAAGCATTATGGAGCAAGCTAAAGATGGGGCTGCACCTCCACCTCCGAGACAAGCAATGATCTACATATGTGGTGGTAAGATCTTATCTCTGTCCATGCTATCAAATTGTAAGGGTATGATATGACATCACCAGACCCTTATATGGATGTATGTAATATGATATCATCATGATGCATATGAGCCCTTCACTCAAATTTGTCACATACTGTAAAACATGATAGTGTGGATAAAACTTAAAGGATAACTTTAGTAAAACATTTGGACACAAGTTAGTGCATGAGTTAACCTTACGTAATAGTAGACTTACGTGAACTTCCTCACCTTGCTGACCAGTGGTATCTACAATGAGGCTAAACCACCATCGGCAGGTGAAATCTGTGTTGGCCATGATTAAACCAACACCCCCCCCCCCCCTCCCTTTTCTAAAAAAAAAAAGAAAAAGAAAGAAATTTTTAAATTATTTTGCATAATACATCCTAAAACAGCTTAAAATGGCCAAAATTGCCAAGCTTCTCTAGGCACCAATAGTTCCCCTACACCTCACTAGAGATTCACACCCTTTGAACCCCTCTGGCCTTTTATATAAATTTTCAGAACAGCTTAAGCCACCTCTGAATGCATTCTCCCACAGCTGCTGGCTGTAGTTGGCACACTCAGAATTCACTCATCTCAACCATTCACACCATCATACAGTACATAAAATCCTTAACATTTCAGCATATATTTTTCAATTCTTATTTTAGTAAAGTTTTTTTTTTTTTTTTGTTGACAGAGTGCCATCAAGAAAATGAAATCAAACCAAGGGATCCTATTAGATGCAGAGAATGTGGATACAGAATAATGTACAAGAAAAGGACAAAGAGGAGTATCCTTTACAATGATATATATATAGTGTATATTCATATTCAAATATTTATATAGCGCCTTTCTCTGCAGGTACTGCAAAGAAAGCTGTATTCAGCGCAGGAGCAAGCAACCCCACCAGGTACCCATTTATACTCCTGGGTGGAGAGAAGCAATGCAGATAAAGTGTCTTGCTCAAGGACACAAGCGAAATGCACAGCGAGGGATTGAAACCCCGACCTCAAGGTTGGGAAACCAAACCTTTCACGCTGCGCCAAACCACTTATACATTGCAGTAGTTTGCCTGTTGGCTCTTTGAAAGTTGAGAAGCCAAGCAATCTTCTTTGTTATATCGAACAATTAAGTCCACAATAATGTTGAAACAAATTAATTGAATGTATCAAAAAAAAAAAGAAATCATGTTTGATGTTTATAATAATTTCCACATCTTAAAGATACTGTATATTGTCCCCCTTGAAAATGACAAAAATCATTTAAAAAAAATTTTGAAATTAACTTGCTCATTTTGCAGTAACTTACAAATTATCAATTTGAGCATAGAAATTATGAATTTAAAACATATGTAATAATGATAATAAATTAATAATGATAAAAATAATACTTGTTCTATGTTGAAGTTGATAATTTTATATTGCTTCCATATGAGCAAGTTAATTCAAAAATGCTTTTATGATGTGTTTTGGTATTTTTCATGGGACAATTAATACATCTTGCCTAGGTTTATTTCCAATCACAATATCTTGCTAATTGTTTGATTTGTAATTTAGATTTTAGTGGACATATATCAATAAACAAACCTTTTCTTTAACCAATGCAATTAGTGGTGGTGTTCGACGCAAGATGACGACTGATGTTTTTACCAGAGTTGAAGTCATTTTGAAAGCCAGAAAGACAAGTTGTAATCAACTCAAAGACCTCAATGTCCAATTGTTGCATTCCTTTTTCCTTACAATCATTGAAAGGAACCGTCATAAAAAAGAAGTCATAGGTCCCAAATAAATTATAATAATAATAGTTCATTCTTATATAGCGCATATAAGGAAGCTCTCAATGTGCTGAACATATTACTATGTCGGTCATTGGATCAAACACGTATGGAACACATACTCAGCTCCCCGAAATACATTTGCTGTAGAGCTGCTTGAAAAATAAAAATTAGGGTTTTAAGAAACAAATTTAATTTTTCTGTAATCATGCATCTACCAGTCATTAGTGAAATGTGTTTATGTAGTTTTTACATATTAGTACAATAAACTCAAAAATTGACAAATAAGCCTTTGAAACACCTAAATAGACATAGTTTCTGGGCTTCGCCCTCTGGACCATCAATGAGAGATTTAAGAAATGACCAACCATGCCCGCTACGCTCTCTCTTTGGGGACATTGGACCCCCTGTCAGGCAAATCCTGGCACTACTGCGATACATTTGTGTTTGAATTAGCCAGAGAAAGTGGGGAGAGGGGGGGGGTTTTGCACGACTTAAATGAAAAATTGTGTATGTATCTTGAAGATATATATGTCTAAACAGTAAAAATTTGTTCTATTTCAAACACTTTACAGAAAATAAATTTGCACAAAACTTTGTATATCAGAGTACTTTCTTTATTTTAATATATCTCTCTTTAGTATCTGTCATGCAGATATGTATATATATATACAGTACATACTTAATATGCTAGAGCATCAATTAAAAAAAAGTCTAATATGGTACATTAAAATATATTATCTTGCGTAAAATTAGGTAGTACAGTATAATGGATCTTTCCGGAGTGTCAATCAAACTTAACTGACCAATCAGGACAAGGCCAGGAATATGTGCATCTCACAAACGCACACGTTTGCCTATGATTTAACACTGTCGTTAAGGTATATTATCTCCTAAAGCAATGCAGAGTTGTATATGCCAAGATGGCCACCGTAGGAAAATGCCACCTTCATAATTAGAATACATATTCCAACAATAAATAAGCCCTCTGACTATTATTTTATTAATCGTTATTATTATTAATAACAATTCATTAAACTATCGTATCCAAAAAGAGGCCAAGTGGAGTATCTGATTTAAAAATTCAGTACTGTACTGAGAAATGAAAATCGACATCGTGTACGCTACACCGTGATGCTCAAGTTACAACATAGCTTTTAAAAACTGTAAAGTTACGTTGAGGACAACATTAAAATGATGATTAGCACACCACACAGCTCAGCATATTTTGAACATCGAATACACAGCAGTTAGCGCTCTAGTATTCCTATTATACCTCTATGGTCTATTCTGATAAGTTGACGGTTTTTCTGTATTGTCCAGAAGGGTGATAAATCACACATCGACCAATGACTCAACCATCACTTTTGAAAGACTGCTTCTGTGGCCGCCTTCATCATTTGTGTAGTAGCAGAAATATGCAGTGAATTTTGAACACTGAAATATGCATTAAAGCCAGTGCCAGAGGAAAAAACAAAAGGAACATACAGTAATTCTTTTTCCTCCAGTTTTGTAAATATTACTGTAGCAGCATTCAGTGTCTTTTACAACATACCAAGCATTTTTGTTTCTCTGGAGCCTGGCTTTAAATAAATAGAGTGTTATGTATATAAAATGCAGTCTTCATGCACACTTGATACAATTTCAAAATTCTGCTATTGGGAGCATGCAAACCTTATTCTGCCTTTAGATACATTAATACAGAACACTGAAGGGTAAAGATAAAAATGTTATTGTTGTAATACTTGTAGCAGGCATTCACATATTCATTCACAAATGGTTAAAGTACTGGGAAAAATAAATTTTATTTTGTTCGAATTTCTGAAAAGATGGTTCTTTGCGACTGTTGACCACCAAATCTCTGGCGATCGTCTTGCTCAAGTGTGTCGATTACAATCTGAAATTGAAAACAAATTTTGTATTTCAACAAATGAATGAAAATTATCAATAACAAATTATAGACTTTAATCTTCTGCTGGTCTAAGAAGAATCTTACTACATATCATCCATTACATCCTAATCAAACATTAGTTTAATTGCTTTTAAGAGCTAAACAAGTATTATTAATATTATATTATCATTTTCGCTATTGTCATAACCTTGTATTTAAAATTCCTTGCAATATTTGTAAATTTAAATAATAGCTGTTAGAATAAAATGAGAATAATTGAAAATATTTTTCTGTGCAAGGATGTGGGGGGTTCGCCACTCCTCCAGCATAACATTCTGTTTTGCCTTCCCAGCATATTCTAGTAGGCCTTCCCATTTATACTCCTAGGCAGAGAGACAAACGTAGATAAAGTGTCGTGCCCAAGGACACAAGTAACTTGTGCAGTGAGGGTTCCAAACCCCCTGATCGCAATGTTGAGAGTCACAATTGTTGCGCCAACCGCTTATTACAATTGAATAATTAATATGGTTTCTGATCCTTCACATCACCAACAGTGGGGGTGCCATTAAGAAGTGGTGGGGGGGGGGGGGAGTTGGCCAAACATCTTTATTCAGGGAAATCGTTTGAACTAGAATTATTGTATCAATTTTGAGTGATTCAATTACATACCTGTCTTGCATTTGATGTTCCCATGTCTTCTCGCATTGCTAGTAAATTGATCACGTGTTCAGTTCGAACATCAGGGAACTTGCTGACCAAACCCTGCAAATGTAAAAGAAAAGTTCAAATGTATTACAGTACAGAAAAAAATGTCTTTGACATACAAATTTAGGTTGATATTAAAATATGTTCATTATTGATTAAAATTAATAAAAACACTTTACCGAGATTTCAAGCGACAGTAAAGACGTGTCCTTTAGACGGATCAGCTCAACCATCACAGAAACAGCATCAATTGGTGAACACTGAGGGGGAAAATTGAGACAATAAAGTAGCTATGTTGGATGGCCAACATCTCAACTTATTATTATTGTTATATACAGACCATCATTTGCATGTACAGTACAAGGTAGTAGTTTCTTCTCATTCAGTACATTTAAGCCAATGCCTACTGCACAGCATTCTGTCTAGCAAATTCCTCAATAATTGTGTTAAGTTGTATTTGTGCATATACTGTCCTAAATTGATAGCAAAAAACACTGTCCATTTATCTTCTCAAATAGATAATTTAGGTAGGGTAGGCATGTTAGTCTAGATGATAAACAGTAAATTGAAGACAAACAGCACTTTTCAGTCCAACAAATTTATCATTGCACAAGCTTAAGATGGTCTTCATCGATTGTGGCTTGGACTCCCAACCTTGAGGTCAGGGGTTTGAAACTCTCGCTGTGCAAGTCGCTTGTGTCCTTGGGCAAGGCACTTTATCTAAGTTTGTCTCTCTCTACCCAGGAGTATAAATGGGTACCTGGTAGGATGTTGTGGCATTTAATGTTCTAGTTTTGTGTGCTAAAGAAGTAGCGAACGTCTAGGGATACTCCCCAGGGATTTGCCATTGTACGTTATCCAGTGACCAGATGTAACGCTTGCCCCTTTCATCATTCAATTTGGAATTGGCGCCGTATAAACGTTTGAATATTATCATTATCAGGAGAATGTCTGAAAAGTGCTGTTTGTCTTTAATTTACTTCTCAAATAGATGTATAATACAAAAATTAAAGAAAATATTATTTTTAACTTGTCAATCAAGGCAGTCTTGTATGAATTATAGCGAAAGTGGAATCCTGAATAATCAAGCTTGCTCGAATGTGAACGCACTTAAACAATTGTTAAAATATATCGATGAGAAGTTATACAAACCACATTATCTTCATCTGTTAATCTTCTAAACAGGTGGCTAATTTGTTCCGATTCCTTGCAGATTTTTTCCGAGGCAGTTTTTCGCTCCTCATAGCTTTTGAATGACATGCGTCTAAATTAAAGGAAAACATTGGAAATGTTCCATAGTCAATCATCTATAATTTTAAATTAGCATCTCATAAAGTTAATACAATTGAATATAATATTCAAAAGCAAGCTATAAGAAGCAAAATTGAAAAATTGTAACCCAATATTTGATTATCGAGTCTGCTAAATATAAAAAAAAAAAAAAAAAAATGACATTTTTTAACGGTGTGTTTTAGAATTACTATAACTCCTCCTACTTACTTTTCAATCACTGCTGTGATGTATGCTAATGAGACACGTTTCTCCGCCTCCTTCATTATTGCACCGAAGTATCGCCTACGCAAGTGTACAAAGTCATTGTAGTAGTCCTCTACTGTTACGCAAATGGTGTCAACAGATGGAGATCCATTTATTTGGAACCTTTCAAAATAAAATTATTTAACATGTTAGCTGCCATGTTTTTAAAGGTTTAACTTTAGGCGAAAATAAAAGTTTTTCTTATTTTTATTGCACCCCCACTACCTTGAAATCTTCAAAGATATGTATATCTCTTCCAAATTATACAAATTTGAAGCATTTCACCATTCTATTTTACACTCACCAATAAAATTTTATATATTGTTAGCGAACCCGCCGACTGCAAATATTGATGATTTCGAATAAAAATATAATTTTATTTTTGGCTAATTAGCACACCCACCACCAGGAAAAAGTGGAGATTTCAGAAAAAAATAAAAGTTTTTCTTATTTTTATTGCGCCCTCTGTTACCTTGAAATATTCAAAGATACATATATTTCTTCCTAATTATATAAATTTGAAGCATTTAACCATCCTATTTTACATTCACCAATTTTTTTTTTCTTCTCCGTCTCGCTGTTTTTGGCAAAACTATTTGCTAAATAAGAAAACAAAATTTAATTTTTATTTTTATTCCACCGTCCTTTGATGATCTTTAAAAAAATAAGTATGTGAAACAAGGAATAAAAAAAGTCTTGCCTTAAATAAAGACCCCTCCAATTAAACACTTTTTTGTGGTCCCATTAACAAATGTCTTTTATCTTTATTATTCTAATTAGAAACCAAAGCTGCTAAAGACCATTAAAACTCCAGTCCCAAAGGATGTCTTTAATTTTATACTACTTGTAACAAGTTAAAAAAAAAAAAACTTTGTCAATTAATGATAGATACATAGTAATAATGGTCCGTATTCTCTGCATACATTGGCTGGTAATCAATTTATCGATTTCTGTAGTAGAAAGTTTGCAACAACAGGGCTAACTAACTAATTTCTTATTAAAAGTCACTAAGTTTTATTTTAACTCCTACATGACAATGGTTTAAATGATTTCTTTTTTAAGTATCTTTTTATAAAATTTGTAATCTTACCAGGATCTGGTTAAGAGCAGCTGGTTATGTGGTTCCAGATCAAGAAATACTTCATCCAAAAGAAATCCAAGACTAAAGAAAAGAATATGATAGGAAAATATTAAAATTTAGCTAGATATAACTACTAACCATGATCTAAACTAGGCACAAGGCTGAATTGTAATGATTTGTACATGCTTAACAGATTACATTAAAATTAAAAGAATTAAAATTTTAACAAACTGAATTACAATTAACACTATGATTACTATTTAATTATTATAATTACCAAAAATACAAATGACTTATCAGATTCACACAAAAAATAATAATTCATAAACAGGTTGACAAAATGAATCATGAACACAAAGAAATGATATATGCATACAGACAGCACATCAAAATGTTACAACAAAAGAAGATTTAAAATTAAAATTACATGAAGATAATCAACCTAATTAAAACTGAAAAAGAACATAAAAAACGACAGAGAGGCAATATATGGAAAAGGCAACATGACTTAAAATCAGGTTTCAAATGATTACCATACTATAATGAAAGTAGGGGAATTTGTGCAGAGAATGTAGGACGGTCATGGATGAATGACTCCGTTATAGTGTTATGTCGCGCAAATCGAAAGCTCATATTTACCATCTACACCAGGCGTTTAAATAGGTAGTTGAACAAGAGGTAGACATTCTATAGCATGCATATGATCAATGCTAAATAATGGAGGTATAAATGCACAACAAAGAATACTACCCATGAAGCAGAAGAGGGTTTATGTGTTGCAGTGTTAATGCTCATAGTATAATTATATAGTATAAATGAAATGCTTTGAGGCTTTCTGAGGACTGCATCATATCAATTAAACACATTATTGTTGGTGTCATTTTTTTCCATTATTATTATTAAAACATTATATAAATTCTCCCCTACTTTCATAAGTATGGTGATCATTTGACACCTGAATTTGCTTACCATTCTCCAGCTAGACAATCAAATGCATCCATAAGACTTTGAAAAACCGTGGTTGAACCTTCACCTGGTGGTTGGTTCAAGTGACGCCGCTTTAAATTTAAATAAAACAAATAATCTTAAATGAGAACAAGGTAGATGAAGATAAAACCTTCTAATATATAAATTACACATACAGTAGAACCCCTCCTTTGGAACACACCTGTTAAGGGAACAAATCAGGCTGCAAAATAAGAGAAAACATATCCTTTGACACAACTATGGCCAATATTCAGGAGATAAGTGTTTGAATATAAAACCATTAATACACTTACTTCAAGCTGCCTGGTGAAATCTTCAAACTGCTGGAACCCATTAATGACTGCTACCATATACTGGAAGTAGTGACGAGGCTGACTGCGATCTTGCATATGTCTGTCCTTGTATGTTCTAATAGAAGCTGTAATAATTAAAGAAAATCAAGCACATTAAATTAATATGCATTAAATTCTTGTTATTTAAATGTTTTTAATCAGCCTTTTAGTGTTGGATCTACAGGATATATTTTAATAGACTGTTATTAATTAAGTGGGAACTTTGTTCATTTGGTAATTTAAAAGAATCCTGGTGGATATCATATTATAAATTGTTTTCCTGCCTTTAGTGCCTTAGTATACAAAATTATGGATCTACCCATGCATCCTTGAATGCTGCTGCACGTTACATATTTCCATAATTAATATTTATTTCTCACAGAATCTGAATCTTTAACATCCACTGAAGGAGGTAATCGAGAAGTTTATTATTAGTCAACATCTTTCTTTAAAAAATAAAAAAATAAAAAATAACATTCTAATAGTTCATTAATTGAATTACATCTTGACTCACATCGATAAAACTCTATGAATTCCTGTAGCACTTCAACACACAATAAAAGCACTTTGGTTGTGAGGTCCTTGCTGATCTGTGTGGCTACTTGCATGTTTTGTTCGATCATCTGGAACACGATCACAGGTAACGATGTGTGCAGGTAACTTTCCTTATCAGCTTCTGGTGGTATCTCACGATACCATTCCTATATTAGGAAATTATCAATCCATATTTTAAAAACAATTTACTAGAAAATACTGTAACAAATGATCAATCAATTAAAATATTCCTTTTTTTAAATGACTGGTTATGGTCTGTCCAAGACACCTTTGTGGACCTGTGCGAGAATTCAAAAGTTTTTATTGTCTTTTTCCAAAAACTTTTTGAGTAGGGAGGGAAGTTTCTCTTCCCTAGGCATAAACAAACTAGTACCTGTATGTTTCACAACAGCTGTATTGCTATGTTGAATCAAAAACCTCAAAGTTTTAACACAAATTTGTATAGTGCATAATTGAAGTGACAAACATAGACAAGCTGGTAGTACCTATATCTTGGAGTGTGTACATGCACTCCAAATGTGCTCTTGGTTCACATTCTGTCTTGGGCAACCATGACATTTTGAGTTAAGTGGCTTCGGCACAGTTAATAGGAGAGAGAGTGTAAATTCCGTCCAAGTTCTTTCTACTCATCATCAGGGGTTAAACTAAAATGCGATTTTCTTCTCAAGCAGGGAGGGAATGCTATGCGCATTAAAAGTCAAATGAACATGAAATTAAGTGACATGAATTCTTTCTGTGAGGTTGACAATATCAAATAAAATATATATGTAAATAAATTTTTGGCACCTTAATATCTGTTTCCAAGGTGTTATTTATCCATTTTTGGATATTGGCATGCAGGGTCTTTAAGTACTGTTGCTGAAGGTTTTCTACAGTGTGAGCTGGCAGAAGGGGTTCTAGTTCCTTTACATCAATATTCAGTTCATGATGCGCCATTAAGTTTGGTCCACTAAAATAAAAACAAAAATGATTTAGTTCATGATGATCTAACTGACGATTGGTCTGCTGGAAAGCAAAAAAAAAAAAACAAAAACAAAAAAACAAAAACAACAACAACATACATTCATGGGGAGCAGACAGAGTAGGTACTAGGCTAGCAACTACTGGGGAGATTTAAAGCAGCCATTAAGTCCCCCCCCCCCACACACAAGTAACCCTAATACTTGTGAGAAACTAATTCTTTATATCTGCAATTGTAAATTGATATCAACAAGATACTGATGTATGATTTACTATGCATACACGAGAAGAAGTACCCTGTAACAATCAGTAGCAGATTCAAGGGGGCTTCCCCTACCACCTAAATTTTACAAAAATTATAAAATAAATTGAATAAAGAAAATTATTTTCAAATTAAGCCTGAGAGTACCATTTCCATAATCATAAAATTTCAGCATCAGCCCCAACCATGGTAGGGCTGAGGTGGTCTAAACCTCCATCTGTGCAAGTTTCTCCCTTGGCCCTCTCTATTTCAAATTCCTGGATCTGCCACTGACAATCAATTCATAGCCTTTGAGTTCACTGTGTGAAATCAATAGGGGTCTATTGAAAGTGGTTTTAAAACAAAGTTTCAGGGTCTTTATTTTCACTGTTGTCACAACAACTTTATTCAGCGACTGGTGATTTGACTATTTCGTTGAATGATCAATTGACAGTAGATCACTAGAACACCAAATGGCAATTTCAAAATATAGAGGGCAGTAATGTCAAACCAAAAAAATTCTAAGAGGTTTGCTTTTTATCAAAGAAATCCACACAAAACTGAAAATTTGAGGAAGGCTCCTAGAATGTTTAAATACTATTTGGCTACATAGATATATCAGCTGGATTATTTAATATCATATTTCTTGGTTAGTTGTTTGACGGCTGACAGAGCAGGATTGTTAGTGTCAAGTGATAAAGTATAATTTAAGCTTCAAGTTCCAGACCAAGGCATACAGTCGCTTATATCGTATATGTTTTAAGCTATTGCCATCAGTAAGACTACATAATTAGGATTGAGTCTACTGTTTTAGTTCTTGTTTGTGTTTTCTCTTATTGTAAACAAGGGGACTCCTCAGAGTTATAGTGAATTATTGCTTAAGCTGCACCTGACAATTGTTATTTGATTATGTATTCTGTTTTTGGTCAAATACATAAATGAAATAAACTTGATACATACACATATTCAGTGAGCCATGTTAGAAGAGAGATGATCTCATTATGTTCCAGTTCATCACATATCATATTTTGAAGCTGTAATTATAAAGATACATACAGTATATTATAAGTCAATCATAACATCATCCCTGTAACCCGCCCCTATGAGAGTAGCATAGTGACTATAAGCCTATATATACACTAGAGAAAAATTGTTATACTTAGGTTAGATTAATGAATTCAAACAATAATTTATTAATTCCTGTATTAATCTAACCTCCATATAATAATTTCCACTAGTTTTTTTTATATGCAACTATATATTATTGTTATTATATCATAATAACAATAATAATAATAATAATAATAATAATATCTTTAGGAGTGTAATAATAAATGTACTTAACATATTTTTATAAACATACACACTTGATTAAGTTATAAAACCTTGTTTAATTCAAAAGATTATTGATTATAAATACATTAAAATAAAAAAAAAATGTTTTTAATTAGAGGAAAATGTCAAGGATTTAAAGATCGTGGGTGTAAGGACACAACTCTGGGTGTAAACCACAATAGGGGGTTGTTACACTACTCAGGGGGAGGGAAACTTGCAATATGCTACTTACATGGACTGATAGAGCATCTTTATATGTTTTGACAAAGTAGTCAAATATCTTGTAGTGCGGTGGAAAACATGGACTGCACAGATGCTGTGAACCAAAACAAAGCAGTGTATAAATAAATGAAATGTCTCAGATTTTTACTATACTGTATGTTTTGTATCATATCAATTGATTAATTCTATCTTTAATTATTGAGTGTACAGTAAAAATAAAAGATTTTCTAGTTATTAAATATGCAATTATTAATTGAGATGCAAAGAAAATTAATTATACAACATATTTCTTTTTAGTGCCTACTCCCCCAATTTAAATAATGGTGAAGTGTACATCTTATCTATGCTACTGTATTGTGATTTAGAATATTATAAGCTGTACCAACTTTGACAATTCTTAGGTCCTCCAATATGATTTGTCTTGTCAACTCTAAGTGGCGCACTAACCACATCCGATCTTGACTTCGATCTTCAAGTTGGTTTCCTTCAATTCTAGCAAAAAAAAAATATTTTAAATAAATATCAATTAATAATTCTTAATTCACAGTGAAGATTCAAACCTATAATCTCAAATTGAAATCTTGAACCCCTATGCTAACCGCTTCTACAATAATAAAGCGTTTAGCCATTTTATATCTGAAAAAAGAAGCGTGGCAGTCCACTTTAAAAATAAATATGATAAGTACAGGCATTGAAAGTCTAAGACCAGGCAATCATACGAGTTTACGAATCTAAGCCTCTACCATACATCACACAAAGTACAATGAATGATAAATTTAAAGTTACCTGTTTGTGACACATTTCACCAGCTCATGGAACATTTTTTCCTTCCATTTCTTGGGCCGTCCAGGTGCTTGAAACTTAACCATACGTTCTTTGTTTTGACACTCGTTGTCTAGCCTGATAAGAAAAGGGAGAGAACAAAAAAATGAATGCATAAAATCATTCAATGAAGCAGGTCTTATGGAAGTTTGATTCGCATAATCATTTTAAAGTTAATAAGAAAGGTTAACTCAAGCCAAGATTTAGATACTCTAAACTTTCAAGCAGCTACAGGATATATCCGTTGTTTAAAGAAATTAAACCCTTACTTATGGTAAGCTATTTCTATTACCATAAAAGCACATTTTTTAGGATTAATTTTTATTTGTTTATTTTATTACCTCAGAATGTAGGAAGATTTGTAAAGCATGTGACTGACTGGGAAGAATTCCCCCAAATGAAAATTACAAAATAAAACATTACTACAAACACAGAATGAATCCACAAATACGATGGTGAAATGGGTGGTCTTGATTGTGAGCGGGTGTTACTGCAACTTGCAAAAAACAAAGTGATAGGAGGTGATTTTTATCTACTTGTGCGTGAATGTTTTGCTTCAAACATTTTCAATTGGAAGCACGTCTAGGTGGAAGGCAAGTATTTTTAAGAGGGAGTGTGTGTAGATATGCCACTAAGAGTACGGTAAAAAAAGTGCCATACTTCTCTTCTCTTTCGATGATTCTTAGACATGTGACAACTTTGGACGGTTCATTCCTCACCACCATAAACACGTTTTGCATCAGAAACTTAATTTGTTGATACATCATCCCTGATAACTGTTCAACCTAGTAAAACAATAACAATAATATATATGATGGTCAAACAATTTTTATCTGGTTATTTATAAAGGATAACAAACACATTACAATAATATATACAAACATAAAGCTATTATAATAAACAGATGATGAATAAAAATGACGTACTTTTGCAAAATATCGCTCAAGAAGATGAATATCAGTCGGGTTTTCGGAGGGTTGCTTGTGAAGTTCAAACAAAAGGTCATTGCGAGATTGTTCAAGGTCCATCAAGCCTTTATGTGCGGGTAACAGCTTGCCGTCCTCTATCTGACGTTCTGTTCTTTCAATAGTTTCTGGTACCGTGAAGATATGCTTCAGATTTTCAACCGCTGCAGCAAGCTGTAAAATTTTAGGATATTGATAAAGTAAAGTATATCTTTGTCATGATTACGTGGTCACAATTCCCACTAGTAGGGGACCATTACTGCCACAGCATTTGCAACTTGCAAGACTGATCGTGGGCATGAGGATAATTATAATTTTTATTTTATATTTGTTCATCATATTTTATATACAAAAATATGTTTTTTTGGGGTTTTTTTCTTTTATTAAGTTAATTATAAGAATGACCTTTAAGAAATTCAATAAAACTATTAAACTATGGTTTGGTTTTTAATTGAAAACACAGGATTTTATGGAGGGTCTCCACCCGCAAACAAGTCGAAAGCACTGCCTGACCAGCAATAGGTGACAAACTTTTTCTTTACCCCGCCACTACTCAGCAGGTGTTCCTCAACAAAATACCAAGATAGAGGACCACCAAAAAATCCAGTAAACCAACCATGTAGGGTATTCTGTCTAATTCCTAAAAAAAAAAGTTTCCCAGTTATGTTTTTAAAGCATCCATCCTCCTAAGCATCAAAGGTCCTGAATCTTATTATCAGCTAGAACAAGCAGCATCAGACCAATAGTAGGGTAAAATGTAGTGTATGCTAGGGACTGCTAGTGGGAAAAGTTTCATACTATTATTAGCACCTTACCAACTAAACCATACATTTTCTCTACATACCTGACTGTGTTCATTAGCAACTTCCCTTACAGATGTAAGCTTGACTGCCAGCTCAGCGCATTCCTGATACTTATCATGCACCTCAACAGTGCTAAACAGATTAAAAGGAGGAAAAAACAATCTTTAATGATGATGAAACAATTTAATTTTGCAGTGTTAAATATTATTATTGTAATTTTCTTCAGAATAAATCAATAAATTAAATTTAAAAAATAAATAAATAAATAAAAAAGTAAATAAAATACAATAAAAAATAATAAAATAATAATATAAAAAAAAAATGTTTGTCTCTATTAGCTTGAATTATTTAGATATGTCAAGATTGATTTGACTTTGTTGCCCAAAATTGGGTGTTATGCATTAAGTCGGCTCATAGTGATATGAAACTGTTACACTCCTGCACATCTCCCAGTGCCCCAGCATAGTTACTGGATCGGTAAGTATTGGGTACCAGTGGCAGATAATTTAAGAATAAATGCATCAATATAATGATTACCATTAAGTCTAATTAATCCTTACCACTGCCTTATTTCCTTTATGCCTTCATGAGCACTACGTAACTGCATCAATCCAGTCTTTACACCATCCAATTGAGATTGCATTGCTGTTTTCAAACGAGCTTCAACAGAAGCCTGCAAGAGAGAGAGGGAGAGAGAGAGAGAGAGATAGAAAAAAATTGGTACTATTGCCTTTGATATGGCACTTTTAAAACAAAATATTATCAACTTTCGTCAACATCAAAATTGTCAGGCTATGGAGGAAAACAATTTTTTCTTGTAGAACAGATTTTTCTAAAAAAGAAAAAAGTCGTTTGACGAAAAACTGGGGAACGGTGAATGAGATACCGATTTTTGAATATTTAAAAAACAGAAGAAAAAACAACATGTTTTACACCTTTTTCCCCCCAGTTTTTAAATATTCAAAAATATGTATCACATTCACTGTTCCCCGATTTTCGTCAAACAACTTTTTTCTGTCTTAGAAAGATTAGTTTTACAACATACCAAACATTTTTTTTCCTCTGGAATCTGACCTTAAAATGATGAAAGAAAAAATTTGTAACATGACTTCATAATTGGCTTTGATATCTATGCTAGTATTACATATTTATATCATGGATTAATTACGGTAAGCAATATTCTGCTCCATGGTTTTATAACATAGAAAACAGATTAATCAATCCAAATGCATTTGATACAATATTTTACTTGATTTCCGATGTGCATATAGGGTATATAGGCTAAAGTGGTAGTAGTACTTGAGTCAAATTAATCTTCATGACACACATTACACACAATCAATTTTACACCTCATTGGATACTTATTAAACATAAACCAACGAATGGGAACAATGAACAATCTCACATTTTTTTATATAGAAATCAATTAGATTGTGACAATGTACAATATTTCTATTTCTTCTAAACAGTACTTAGGACTTACTCACCTTTTTACGAGCCTCTCTTCTTCGATATTGTTCAACTTTTTCTAATTGATCAGGTCGCTAAAGAAAAAAAAACATTAATGATGCATAAGAAGTATTTCAATTTTCAAAGTAGGCCTAATCTACTTATTTTACCCAATTCAATAATTTCACTTGTTCTTTTGTTTTATTCTATTTTAATACCTTTCAAAGTGTTTCAATCTTGTTTTGTTTTTGTAAGAAAAGAACCATGCATTGGAATTTACCTTTTCAGAGTGTCAATCAATGTTAACCATTTTTAATGTCTTTTACTTGGTTCTTGTAAATTTTGATTCACTTTTTAATTGGATTTGTTTTATCAGGGATTTTTTTGCCTGTTTTTAATGACTATAATCATTTCATCATTTTCATTGATTTAAAGAAATAATTTTTCCATTTAGAAGAAATTTACACATAATAATATCAAATGGCAAGGGTCTATTTTAGGCATGTTATAACAAATAATGAATGTTCTGTATTTGTGCAATGGAAATAATATTTTTATGAGTTGAAAGATTGAATCTTTCTATTTTACTCGTCTGCCTCACTAAATGTAACAGTCAATCTCTGGACCATTACACTCATAAACACTCTAACATGCCTCAGAAGTTCTGTTTATGACAAAATTTTAATGACAAAATCTTGAAATAATTTTTATATCGTAAATTTTACATTTTGTAACACCATGTAATTCAGTTTTTATGCTGCGAATTGGTTTGTTGAAATAAAAGATAAAGATTATTTAAATAATTATTACTGTAATTTAATAATATTTATTAATTATTTTGGGTCAAAGCATATTTCAATGAAATGAAAAAAAAAACTGGCTTTTTGATCGACTGTATAATCTAGGTTGGATTGTCTAAGCAAGTGAGAAGGTGGGCCCAATATTTTTTAAAATAGACCGATGTTTTTCAAAGCAGTGTTCTTCCACCTAGCTTTGCCAGCATTGTTTGCCGGAATAAGCATGAATAAACCATAAACAATACAATATGAAAAACTTCAAATTAAAAACATTCAAATATGCAACCCTACTTGATTGATGCTACGCATTCCAATAAATTACTGTACTACTATGTATTTCCGCTGACCTAGGCCTCAGACCTAGCCCGCTTCTAAGGTCTAGCCTAGGCTCCCTATGCTCTCTAGCCTGCTTTGCCACGCCTCGTCGTAGGCCCAGCCTAGCTAGGGACTAAGCTAGGCCTAGTCTTATCAAGTCAAAGAAGACTGCCAACGCCCATTTTTCTATATATATGATCACCATTCTCATTACCTTAAGCATATTTTCTACATGCTTTCGAGCAGATTCTAAAGCATCTAACTCTGCTTGTCCAAAGTCATCGGAATACATATTTTTTAATGATTTGGTTACACTTTTCTTCGACAAAACATTATTAGCGTAAACAGCAGGCTGACATCTTGTAAATAGCTCCTCGTTCTGCAATATATTTCTTAAAGATTTGAAAAATAAATTTAATAAATAAGTTACAAGTAAAGAGAAAATAATAAATTAAAAAAATACAAAAATATTTAATATTTATAGCATACTGTTGTTTATTTTTTGTAGAATAAAGATTTATAAACTTATTCATAAATTTGTTTTGAAATAAGTAGAAGTGGTTTAAAGGCGGTCGAGCGGACTACTGTTCTATAATCGAATGGAGCTCGAACGGAAATTAGTTTGTCAGCAGTCGAGCAGTGCCACTTGTACGAATGATAACCAGTGAACGGATTAGCTTTCAATTAATCAGGACACCTGCTTATCATATCAGAATGATTGATCGATTCACTGACTGATGATTCATTACCTATCACCACCGCCACGCCACCATCATCTTCATCCTCATCATCACCCTTATCCTCATCATCATCATCATCACTATCCTCATGCCAAACATGATTAGAATTATCACCATTGTAACCTTGCTAAGAAATTGTACTTTAAATTTAATTATTTATAAAATATACACTCTTGAACTTCCGTAAAGCAATGTCAAGTCACAAAGACGCACCTAGACGGTTGGAAGCGACAATCGAAGAAAAACGGTTAAGCAATTAAGCCAAGGACTTCCATTCAGTATTAAAATCCTTCCATTAATGGGCACTGTCTAAAACTTTCTTCCAGCTTAGGCCCCTTAAAAATATTAGTTTATCATCACCCTATCAAGTAAAGTAAATCAATGGTTAGGGACACATATATAACAAGTCATAAGAATGGAATCAAATTTATATTTAAAAAATATGTTTTTGTTGTACCAGTAAGCATATTTGCAAGAAACTCTGAGCTTTTCAAGTGAAAAAAGATGGAAAAAGGACCGGGTGATAAACTAATAATTTTTTTTTATGGGGCCTTATCTCTGAAAAGATTGTAACCTTTTCGTCTGCAGTTAGCTCAATATGAATTACACAGGAGCCAGTGAGCTTCCATGACGGCCTAGGCTCGGACATGACACGTTGTTGTTTGTTGTTTTTTCGCGACGTCATCAACGAGTACAATACATTCACTCCATCAACTAAACTGCCTTAAAGAAAAAAAAAAAAAACTGGCTCGTGTGGGAATCGAACCCACGACCTTAAAAAAAAATTAAAAAAATAAAATTTAAAAAAAAACTAGCCCCGTGTGGGAATCGAACCCACGATCGCGGAGTTTACTACCCCTGATCCAGCATGACTAAACGGAGGGAGGTAAACCGCGGCACCTAAACCATAAATGCGATAAACCTAGTACCACACCAAGTACCAGTTAGTCAATTCTGATCCTACTAGAAAAAATTCTTCGTGTATATACACTGCAGGTTAAGATTACGCATGGTCATGGTGTCAACAATGGGCCGTGGGCCAAGAGGGTTATTTTTTTGTCTAAAAATGTAGAATTAAATTTATAATCGATTTTTGATTGTTACCATCTCCATAACTTACGCACTTTTTTTTAAATAGACAAAAATGTTTGAAAAATTCATTATGCAAATTAGAAAAAAATAGACTAATCATGTTACGGGAAACCTGGCGGTTGTGGGTTCACTTCCCACACGAACCAATTTTTTTTTTTTTTTTTGGCCCGACGTCGGTAATTTGATATTTACAACCTCTAACCAACGTCGGCCCAACTGTTGTCACCAACCTCCACTAACGTTTACCGACGTCGGGCCAAAAAAGTACTGTGACGTTGGGACCACGTCTATAATCACATCTAATATTTACAACCTCTAACCAACGTACGGTTGTAACCAACATCCATAATATATATAATTATAGACGTTGTCGCAACGTCAAAGTACCTTGTTG